AGTATGTGTATCCGATCGGTGCGACCACAACAGGACGCGCCACGGCAGGTCGGACGTACGAGACTGGTGTGACTGGGCGGTACGGGACTTGAGAAGGAGCGACGGCAGGGCGAGGCACCGGCCCAGCTGGAGGCCGCGGGGCAGGAGCTGGCGCAGGTCGAGGTGCAGGAGCGGGTGCAGGAGCGGGCGCAGGTTTGGGTGCTGGTGCTGGAGCTGGAGCAGGCTTAGGAGCGGGGGCTGGAGCAGGCTTGGGAGCTGGAGCTGGAGCAGGCTTTGGTGCTGGAGCTTTCGCTGCAACTTGACCAAGAAGTTGGCGGAAGAAATGGGACATGGAGCTCCCAGATCCTTCGACCACGAACTGGTTGACCGTTTGGGCCGCTGCAAGCGCTGCCACGATGTACAGCAGTACGAGGGCAAGGCGTCGCATGGTTGTTGGAGAGGTTTTGAAGTGGCCAGGCGTGGCTTGGCAAGCGCTACCGCAGCAGTATTCTCCGGTCGTCTGGACTGATTGGCTGACTTGTTGGCGATTCGCATTTTATTTCATACTTCGCCAATATATTAACTAGTTAATTTATGCTGGCGGCCTCGCAACAGATGCAGTATATTCCCACGACGACGAGAACGGCGCCTGGAACAAATTCATCGGGACGACCGAGGTCGATGCGACGCCTCCACCCCTTTTCCTTCTCACAAGTTCTTGCACACATGAAGCGAGCATCTCCCCCACATGTTCAATTGACCGTGCGCAACAATGGTAGGGACTCGCTAAGCCGTTGGTGGCGGGATGGAGTCACCGCAGCGGGTCAGGTCACCGTAAAGGTTCGCATCCTTGGCAACGTATCATCATGGGGTTTCACCATCGAATGCAACTCCTTTCCGTGTTATCCGCTTGAACCGACACCGCAGAAGAGGAGGTGAAAGGTTTTGTCAAGCATAGAAACAAGCTAGCTACAGGTTAAGGCCGCTACGCTTGGCGAAGGTCGCGAACAACAACGCCAACTTGGCGGGCAAGATCTTCGTATTTTTGAATGCGGTATGGCTCGGCCAGTGCGCCACGTTCCCACTCTTGCATCGACGCCAAGTTGCGGAGGCGGTCAAAGTACGCATTCACGTCAGCGTCGTCGACAGTGATTCCATACGTTTGAAATCGAAACGCCACGGGGCAGTACATGGCATCGGCGGCCGTGAAGGTAGCGCCAGCGATGAAGGGGCCGCCAAACGTCGCCAGCCCTTGCTGAACCAACGCACTCAAACGAGCGAGGTCGGCAGCGAACTCCGCGTCCGTCGAGTGCAGCTTGATGCGAACACCCACGTTGTTGTTCAAGGTGTTGCGAAGGCCGGTAAACCCCGAGTGCATTTCTGCGGCGGCGGAGCGCGCAAACGCCCGTGCGCGCGAGTCTGTAGGCCAAACGATCGGGTACGACTCGTACACGGTTTCCGCAATCGCGAGGCTGTCCCACACAATTTGAGGATTACCCGTCAGCGCAGTAGCACCGTCGGTCGCGACAATGAGCAAGGGGAACTTTCGCGTCGGCGTGAGGTTGATCCAAGGCTCGCGAAGGTTCTTCGCCGTGAGATCGTCCAACGGCGCCACTTGTTCGTCGAACGGGATGTTGAGTTCCTTGAGGAGAACCCACGATCGAAGAGGCCACGTCGAGTAGTTTTTGTTGCCAACGACGAGGGTGTATGCCATGAGGTAGGTAGGTGCTCGCTCTTGGTTGCCAATGTTCAAATGCCGAGTTGGGTTGGTATGGCTAACGAGCTAGGTTGGTGGCGCATGGTTGAAGCACAAACACAACACCTGAAATTTTCCACATTTCTTTTTGCTCGAATTTCAATTCCAGCATTTTTGGTACATTAAAGGAGGCGAATGGACCATATAAATCCATAGTCATGTTTTCGAAAAACGTGGTAATAATACTCCCAAATTTATATTTACATAGTAAACGAATGCAAGTAAGGGACATTATATACATCAGGTGAAAACATGCATTCCAATTCTTCCAACCTGTTCCAAATTCCTCTGGTGTGAACTCGATTGTGTGACAACAACAAAAACAAAGCTGCCAACAACGACCCCAAGAATATTCTTGTGTGCGTTTGGCGATTGGCATATTTCCACTGTAGTAGGATAAGTAGTGTAGAGTTGCGCCTCATGTACATGTCGTCTGCAACGCGCGACGTCCATACACCCCTTGCTCCACCAATTAATCTTGGTCGATGAATCAGGGTCAAGGTTATATTTTTCATATTGCATGCTGATGTGGTAGTAAATATTCCTAAAATTCAATTCAGTTTTCAATATACTATTAGCATTTGCAAATTTTTTAATAGAATCAAGTCGTGTCCATCACTTCACATAGATTCAATATATATATTTGTAAAAATGACATTGCACTAACACAACATGATTTAACATGCTACCTCAAATTGCTTCACCAAGGAGAGCGCTTGCGGGATGTGTCGCTTCAAAGCACGGCCGCCACAACCACGAGAGCCGTGGCCAAGTTTAGCGTTCACTCTGCTTTATGCACCGTCGCGCCAACAACCCATCATGCTGGACCCTCTCGTGCCGCGTGTCCATGACCTTCTCGGGCTCATCCAACGCCACGTCGAGCTGATTGTCACGACCTCGTCACCAGCTCAACTCCGGGACTGGTTAGTCGTCTCGTTGGATCTGTTGGCTCGGCTACAGGCCACCCAAGTGGACCATCCCGAGTTCCTAGTTGTCCTCAAGGAAACCCAAGTCCTCGAAGCGGAGATCGTGAACGCAGTGCTTGCTTTACACCGCCACAACTTCCACTCGAACGTTGCTACAGTCAGCTATGTTCAATAGTGGCAAACGTGGCCTCCGACCTGCCGCGCCTGTGTTCTTGAACTGTATCGCAAGCGGCGTCCCTGAAATATCCACCAAGTGCGCAGTTCACTGCTGCACTGAAAACGCCATCTTTGCCATATGAATTAGTACATTGGTGGGGATAGTTTCGTTGCCCAACTGTCCAAGGTCCATTCGATCGGTCTGCTCCTTGTGTTTGCGGCTTTGCGGTCCGCGGGTTCTGAACCAAGTGATCGCACGAGGCCGCAACGTTGGTCGAGCGCCTCTTGCAAGCATACATGGGACATGGATGCACCACAGTGCATGCCCTTTTGCGGCTGTGCTTGCTAGTGCCCTCGCCCCTCGCGCAGGAGGATATGAACAAGAGGGGAAAATGGGTCGAGCAGAATTACAGCGCTTCTCAACACATCTCCATCTGGAACTCACAAAACGATCATGTCTCGTCAAGATCGATGAAACAAGTTCCAAATTCTTGGAGGAGATCCTGCCGCCTGTCGGGGATTGTGGTACGATGGACTTCCACGACCACGAACCCATGCAAGCAGTCGACAGGCGGTCGCCAACAAACCACACCGGCGCGGCAACCCTTCGTTCCCCATCCAACTCGCCAAACTGTACAGCGCAATGCCCCAGCCCCCGCCGACTTCCCCCGCCGACTCTGGGGCACGACGCCGATACGCGGTGTATCTTTGGCAAATGTGTCTCAATTTCCACTTGTGGTCGGATGAATATTTCTGAACGAATTAGCTTCTTATCAAATCTCTCACCATGCATGGACAATGCTCGGTTGGCCAAAGCGCTTGCCGTGTCGACACAGCACAGCATAAACGCATACGACACAACCTGTATTGGTCAAGGACACTGTACTGCGTAGCAGTAGCCACTTGCGACACCAGGTATGCCAATGACACAGTGTTCAAAGTGGTGACAGCTGTGATTTTTCAAAATATCAAAAAGACCAAATTGACCAATAGTCGTGGTGCAATATTTAGCGCAATGTTGAAGCAGCAAAAGTGGTATCGCCAGTAGTCGCACGAGATCTCTCGAATCCCTTCGAATCTATGGTCGACGGCGCCGCTCATTTCGATATCCAACACGCATCTGCCACATGCGCGCCCAAGTCCACCTCCAAGCGCCGTCGTCACGCTCGCTTGACGCTGCCGAAGTCACGCCATTGCTTGTATACGACCACGACAAGCCGCACATGGTCGGCACGGTTTTGGTCGCGTTTGCCGCTGTCGCGTTTAGTTTGGTCGCGACATACGTCAAGTACATCAGCGTCGACTTGACCTCGGTCGAAGCCACATTTTGGCGGTTTGGTGTCGCGTACGCGTTTGTGCTGGTACGCCCGTCGCAACGACGCAAGCACGTCGACTGAATCGTGTTTGAACGACGTAGATTTTGGCCCTCTACTCGAAAGTCGACCTACTCGTCGCGCCACAATACCACTGGGATCTTGCGTGGCGATGTGTCTTTGGCACAGCATCGGTCCTGTCGTTCTTTTGGGCCATCACCCAAATGGCATTAGCTGATGCGAGCACAATTGCCGCCACTAGCCCCGTCGTCGTGTCCCTCGTTGGAGTATGGCTGCGTCGTGAACCTGTTGGGCTTGTTGACATTGTGACTGCCGCTGTCGCCGTTGCTGGCATCGTGTTTGTGGCTCGACCGAACGTCGTCTTCGAAGTGCCCATCATCAGCTACGGGTCTCCGTATGCTTGTCTTGGTGCGGTGGGGTCGGCTGTCTTTGTTGCGCTGGCAAATGCACATGTGCAGAAGCTGTCGGCGGTGCCCACCCTTGTCGTGACGCACTACTTGCTTCTTGTTGGGGCGACTATTTCAGGCATCTGGGTGCTCGTCGCTCAAGGGGTACGGCGTGTGCGAGCATTTCTCCTCCCATAACAGTTTTTATGGAGTGTAGCGATTCAGTTTGCACGGCTGTGGCCGCACCGTGGCTCAGGCCACGATCGCCAGCGGTCTTGTCGCGTTCTTGGGAGATCTTGCCTTGTCCAAAGGGCTGCAGCAACTCGAACATCCCGACACGTCGACCCGAACGAATCGCTTGCTGTCGATGGTGCAATATGTCGACCTTGCTTTCGTGTTCTTGTGGGACGTCACGCTCATCCATGAACGCGTCAACTGGTGGAGTGTGCTGGGGGCAGTCTTGGTGACCGCTGCCGTCGTGACGGTGCATTATCGACGCGCTACCCGCGCAAGCAACGAGTAATTGGTTTCTCCAAGTCCCTTGGCCACCGTGTTCGTCTTTCAAACAGAGCCAAGTTGTTCAGCTCCTCTTGGGGCTCGTCAACATAGATTGATCGCAAACCAAACAGTACCGTGGCCAGTTTGCTCAATCGAGAGAGCATCGCCTTCCAGGTGGCATACGTGTGAAAAGGAAGAGATGGGACTTCTTTCCAACCACAGTAGCACGTCTTGAATCTTGACGGCAGGGCCATCCATAGCCACTTTCCCGTCAACACAACTCAACATCGCATGACGTACGAATGTCCCCTCACGCCAAGACCCTTCGAAGACGTCGCGCCTTCTCTGTGTCGCTTCCCACAAACGGCGTTGCACCTGGATGGATGCCAAGCGGCGGCGTTGTGCAAAATCGACCGGGTTTATGTGCACTGATTTGGATCGTCGTCTAGATCGTCAAAATATCGTCCTTCCGACCGTCTGTTTTGTACACAGTTCAACGCAATTGGCTTTATTGAACGAAAACCATTCCACATGACACCTGCACGGATTCGCACAATACAACATTGGTCGAATTATTGTCTCGAAATACATGGTCAACATATCTGCTTGTCAAAACGCGTAACGAACGATAACACATGGACTATGTGCCAGCAAATGGTTGCCCAGCGGCAACACATTTTGGCGGTCGCCTGAAGCCAAGCAGACATGCCGCTCGTTCATCACACGCCGCCGCCGCCTTCCAGAAAGGTTGAAGAGAACACGTCGTTGCTCGTGGATTCAAATACAAGGATGCCCTCGTTGCCTCATCCGCATCGACTGCTCGGGTTGAGCATGGTGGCGTTCGCGTCATTCTTGATCAGCATCATGTCTGCGTGCGTCAAGTTCGAAGGGTCGGCAGGGAGCTTGTCATCCATGGAGACTGTCTTTTGGCGGTGCGCGATCTCGTACATTTACATCGTGGTATGCGAGTCTGTTACGAATTTGACGCCATGATGAGCGCAATCGCCGTAGGTGCTGGCTCTGTTCTGGCGCGTCGACCTCGTTGTGCCTCGCGAATTCCACTGGGACCTGACGTGGCGGTGTATCTACGGATTCGTCACATGCGGCACGTTATTTTGGACGATCAAGGAAATGACGCTGGCCGATGCACACGTCCTTGCTTTCACCAGTCCAATTCTCACGTTTTTCCTTGGGGCGTGGCTTTTGGGCGAAGCGATCGGTGCGATCGAGTTCGGCTGTGCCATCGTGTCGTTGGCCGGTGTCGTGTGCGTGTGCCAGCCCGCGTTCTTGTTTGGTGCGGGAGACTTGTCGGCATCCACGATGAACCCGTATGCTCCATGGGGCGGCATCGTCTCGGCCATCCTTATTGCCTTGACGTACGTGCATTTGCACAAACTTGCAGAGCTGCACTATGTCGTGGTGACGCACTACTTTTTGCTCACTTCGGCGGCCGGTGCCGGTCTCTGGGTCCTCTTTATCGAAGACAAGGTAAGTGGAATGCCTTGACACGTATGGATGCTGCCGACGTCCAGCGATCGATCCATCGGTGTGAATGGTTTCTTCGTCTAAGTGTTGCACGTGCATGATGCAGGGGTTCCAACTGTTTGCATCAAGCCCTGCCATCGTCTGGGCAGCCTTCGTCGGGGGCACCGTCGGCGTGGTAGGCCAGCTGTGTTTGACCAAGGGGTTTCAAATCGAAAAGATCGGCATTTCGTCCGTTATTCGATACCTCGATGTTGTGTTTGCGTTTACGTGGGACGCTGTCTGGCTCCACGAGCCGATTCACGTGTGGAGTGTCGTGGGTGCGACGATGATCATTGCGTGCGCGGCCGTCATCTTTCTGCGCAAATCCCGCGGACAAGCCTAGCCAAGCTGCTGGTACCCAGTCGATAGATTTACAATCATACGAATGAAACACGCGAGAGGCTGGCCAAGTTTGCCCATGTCTAATGTAACGCGACTGTATTGGGTTTCGATATGGCAGGTTCGTGTACGGAGTATCATCGGTGATGTTTGCAAAGGCTCTTGTCTACAATTGCGTTGACCGATCGGTCGATAGGGGTGTGTCGGGGTTGATTCCTTATAGAGCTGGAGTAGCGCGTCAGCTAGGTTGTGCTACCTCTTGCTCGTGGCGGTAAACCCTCCTCCCGCCTAGTCACACCATCGTTGTCGAGTAAACGTGCGGCACATGCACAAAGCGATATTCATCGCGCTAGTGCTGCAGCATTTCTTGCACAAAAACACACGGCTAACACACGCTGCTATAAATACAGCCCTCGAAATACATGCCCAAGTCTAAAGTTAGCCTGTTCAACCTTGCATGGGATGGCTATTTTCCAAGTCGGGACAAGCGACGACGAACGATGGCAACGATCAGCGGGTACCTGAGCAAGATGAAGCGTGAGCCCAAGATGCTCACGTCCGACTGGACGCGGCGGTGGTTCTCTCTCGAAGGCAAGCAACTCAAGTACTACCAGTCCAAAACGTCGACGGATGCGTCCAAGAGCATCGACCTCTTGTCCATTGAGTCGATTCGCCCATTTGATTCAGGCGACCACGGGCTCTATAGCTTTGTCCTCAAGACGCCGGACCGAAGCTACTTTCTGCGCGCCGAATCGGAGGGTGACTTGAAGCGGTGGGTCCGTGGCTTGCGCGAGCAGCAAGACTTATGGAAGGAAGAGCTACGACCATCGCCGCGACCGAGCTTCAAGGTCAAGCACTACAAGGACATCCCTCTGGCCACCAAAACCAAGCGAGCCGACAACGATATCGACGCGAAGGGTGTCCTCGAGGACTATCTGCCAGAGTCGCCCAAGAAACAGCCGCGCAAGGCGCGCTAGAGTGAAACAGCGAGTATTCATTTATGCAGTATTGTGCCATATCCATTATCGGAGTTCTGCAATTTCGAATATTCGGTCGTTGCCGCCGTGTTCACCACGGACGGACTCATGCGCGTCTTCCGCATTGAATCGCCGCATCCTCAGAAGAACCCCGAGCTATTTCGGCGTGTGAGAGAGTACGTACGAGATTGTGTCATGCACCGAGATACCAAGCGTGTGGTGGATGTAGATGCATTCGTCGGCGTAGTGTATTGGGACCGTGGAAGAAGGTGTGTCTCGAGCGACGACGGCATCAAGAACTCAGGTCACCGAAAAGGGAAGCTAGATCTATCGAGGGACAAACCACTGTCGATTCAACAGTCTCGTCTACATCGTCTCCGTCGAAATCGACTGCCGAGGTGACGTCTCCTCCGGTGAATCCTATCATAGCACAAACGACGGCAGAAATCCAGGTACAATTTCGAAATCTCGTTCATCTCTCACGCATAAACATGGCCGTAGATGCTAGAAGCAAAACTTCAAGATCTTCAGGACCAGAAACACCTTCAATTCGGCCTGCTCAAGACACTTCTGATGGAAGAAGCACGTGCGAAAGCGCGGGCAGCGCTTCCTCCAGTGCCCATACCAACGCCCGTACATGGCCAACATCCTGCATGTCCCACGCATGGAAAGCATGCCGTCGTGCAACCGCCCAAGTCATCAGGAGGAACAACGTAATGGAGGCTGCCGACACGTTTCATCATACCCCATCGACACAGCCCACAGAACACCAATGCAGGGCCGCAACAGTGTCCAACTGCGCTGCGACAGCTCCACATACCCGTGCATCATGGACAGACAGCACCTGCGCATCAAACCGAAGCATTCGCACACTCATCGCAGTCCAATTCACAATTCCCCGTGCAAGGCATTTCTCTTTCAGCGCCTGGCACTGTGTGTGTCGACGGTCATGGAAGGATTTGTGCGCATTCTGATGATTGCGTCGCTCTCGTTCATGTCGATCAAGGCCAACCAACGTCAACATAGTCACAGACCTTGCCCAAATCCAAGCAACGGGACAGTCGTACAAGATTGATCGGTTAAATCTTCCACGGCGGCTTCGTGTCGAGCGCAGCAGCGGCGGCTTTTCTTACGGACTTGTCCTTCTTCAGCTTTTTCATCTTTTCCAGCACAATGTTGAGCGTGGAGGGACTCAGCGTGATGCTGGCCAATGTGTCGGGCGCGTCGAATGGATGCCGTGCAACCTCGAAGTACAATTCGTCGGGTAGCCGATGAAGCAACTACCCAGTCGTCCGTGAGGCGCCTTGCTTTGGTTTTGTGCATGGGGATCGTTCAGTACCTGCAGCGCAACGTAGATGAGGTGCTTGGCTTGCAGCGGTGGCGTCTCGCGCAGGTTGAGCTTGTTCATCAAGTGCATGTCGCTGCAGCAAGGTCCTGCATCAGTCATGGTGCCCCGCTACTCGCATGGATTCTGTCGTACGTACGTGTGGAGCAGCTCGGTGCGAAGCAGGACGACGTGGGCAGTTGCGAGAAGCACCACGAAGTGCGCGCCCATCGCCAGCAGCTACGACGGCGTCAGCATCAAGGCTGGACGCAAGGATCCTGACCCAAATAGTCACCAGAACTCGACACCACGATCATGCATCCAAACCCAAGCGATTTCATCCTATACTATTGGCAGCTGGGAGCACTCAGCGTTTGTAGCCGAGTCGACTCACCCAACTGTCCATACCAGGCACAAAAGGCGCATGCACACGGAGAACGCGACGACGTACCACGTCCCAAATGTGGAGCAGCTCCGAGAGCGGAGGAATGCACGCAAAGAAGCTCAGAATGATCGGGTACGCGTACACTTTGGCAGTGATGCCTCTGGACAGCAAGTGCTTGTACAGCTTGTAATCGAGCTACATGGGCGAAACACATCATGTGAAGGTTTGCATACGAGGCGGGTTGGAGACTCGCCGCCACTGCAGCCATCCATTGTCCCCACAGCAGAGAGTCGAGACCACCCACGTCACCGAGCTTGACGTACCGTTTGGAGGCATCGGTCGACGAGGCCGCAGGCAACGTGGACTCCGGCGAGCTGTGGCGCGACATAGCGAGGGCAGTGCTTGGTCACGAACGACGAAAAACTCAAGTACGCGTCGTCTTCCGGGAGAACGTAGAGAAAGATGCCAGACAGGATATTCATCCCTTGAAAGTACCGGAACGGTTGGTCGCTGTCGGCGCGGCCATCGCGACACGACATGCCCTACACAAATATGAACTACAGGGCAATGTTCGACACAGAAAGCATACATGCTCGTGAAGGAATGCATTGAGCACACGGACCAAGGTGGTCTCGGGCACGCGCCGCGCAAAGCTCGGGTCGCCGCGAAACGTCCTGAAAGTATCGTTGCGGATCTCGCTGTCACTGACCGATGCGCCTTTCGCGACCGAGCGTTTATAGTCTTGCTTGCGCTCGGTCGTCGCGGCGTTGTCGTCTTCCATCCCAAGAAGCATTTTCCAAATGCGGCCTCGAAGCGTCAACGCGTTTTCGACATCTTCGTCCGGTTCGTTGGCCGGCAACCCGTACACGATGACCATGCGACGGAGTTCCTTGAGACGGTCGTATCGACAAGTCAGCAGACGACCTTTCTTGTCTACAAGTGAGGTAGATCAGGCACGTCGTTTCGCAAGTTATGGACACGTACCCATGATGGGCAACCCGCTCAGGAGTGCCATGTACCGTCTTCGAAGCTATGGGATAAGATCAGCGTCGTACAACGTGTGCCGGTGATGGAGCTTGAAGAACGGGATGTACAGTGATATGTGCGATGTTAGGCGTACCAGTGGGTCTGACGCCCGCCCGGGTTCGTCGCCGACGAGCGCTGCCGACGACGCACACTCCATGGTGACCCACAATGCACCAAATCCTTTGGCCGTTTCAAACTAACCGGATAATATCCGGTCAATTCGCCGGTTGAAAAGAGTTGAGTACAGGACCACACCGAAGACGACCGCACGCATGTGACATGACTCGCAGGAAAGCTTGGTTCGTGCTGTGCAGTTGCGTTGTCGTGCTCACAATGGTGGAATGCCATTGTGGTCCAAATCCTTAAAGTCTGGAAGGTTGAAGACGATGAATTTTCATCGAGGTCGTCTGCACTGGAAGTACTAGTAGTCGCTTGAAGCACAATTTGTTTGGGTTACCGAGAAGACGACAATCCACTGCAGAAAACAAGGTGAATCACAGAACATACACTTGCGAGGATGTAGCATCGTGTGTGCAAAGAAGAGTATTGTAGGACTTGCCATTTGAGTATTCCGCGTGGATGTGTTCATTGGCTGAAGTTATATTTGTGTTAGTCATGCATCCATCTTCCAATTAGATGGAAATAGCATCAAAAATCAAATATCACAGGAAATGGTTGGTGTTATCCGTACTTTTAATACATTTCAAAGGGAAGCGGACGAATCGGCAACATATCCGGACGGTTCATGAGAGTATGGCGAATTTGAGCGCTGGCAAAGATGATGGAGCAGTACTTGCTCCGAGTGCCCAAGAAAGTTGCCGTCGACCTACGCAAGAAGATGGCCGAAAAGGAAGTTCGCGGCGTCGATGTTGTGGCAGGAGGTACGTCCTCCGTCTCAATCCCTCTCAGTCCCAGTTGTCATCGACCGTTGCCTCCGTCCACAGCTGACAACCGCAACTTCAAATTCCGCATCGACGACACTGAGCTGCCTGCGACGCTGTGTACGATGGTAGTGTACCAACCTCTTGTCACGATCGACGTGTGTAGGTCAGTTGCCATGCATCGTTGAAACCCACAAAACGTATGACGAAAAGCTCTTTTACAAGAGCGGCGACATTGGCCAAGTACGAACGAGGTCCCCGCTTGACCTGACTATGACATGTAGATCCTGCTCGTCCACGACACCCCCGAGGAGCAAATGCTGTATGAGACGGTGACCGAATTGCCGGGCGGCATCACCCCGCCCACGACGAACATTGTCAAGCGCAAGTATGCCAAGACACGAAAGAATCCCATCTTTCCGAAGAACGATGTCGCGCGCGTTGAGGATATGCTGGTCAAGATTATAGCTGGAGGGATCATCGAGGACGTTCGTACGGGCCGCTATCGTTTGCTATCGTCCATCTCTCATGGGCTCGTTTGTGGGTAGAGGAAGAGCTGGTGGACTTTCACGACTGGATGGTGGACGACGAACACCCCAACGGAATTGTCGTGCACGATGAGATGGACTTTATCCAGCGCCACCCCGAGGTAACCA